TACGGCAAGTTAAAATATCACATAAAAAGAACAATAATAACTTAATTTACAAACTATAGATTCTTTAATTAACGTAAACTGACACTCACAATTATATTTACAACTCACCTAAGAATGATGAAATATCCAAGTCCCAATAAAACTTATTTTTCTGTGTCTTGCCATCTGGCTGGCACAAGTTAGTCTAGACTAAAAGTGACCTGTTCTAAAGCTTCTATAGGTATTAGAACATAATGAACAGTAACATGCCCTTCAAACATTGAAGTTTTAGTGCCAATGACCGAACTAAACCTTCGACCTAGAATGAGAGTCTGAAAGCATAATAAAAGCACACATATTCTTGCAATGTACTTCATATAAATAAGATAAAACCTTAATAAAAACAGAAAACAGCATGCAGATATTCATTCCCACATCAGAAAAAAATACAGAAGGAAAGAGCAAAGCTTACCTACTATGGAACACAGCACTCCAGAACCAGGAGTTAAATGATAAGAGAGCATAGATGTGCCACAAACTGGCAAAGTAATAGTATGTCTTCTTATCCCGTCTCAAAGGTAACTTATAGTATAAAAGGATGAAAAAGGATATCCAACCGTGGAAATGCATTGCAAGGTTGAGCACAGAGAAAGCTACAGAAGCAGGCTCCTAAATAAATGGATAACATGTCAAATAGCACAACCCATGATAACATTAAAGCTATTGTCAAAGAAAATGCGGCCAAGGCATATAGCCTGCCAAAAAAGCAAACCTGGATCCCGTAAACACGCTTGAAGGGCCATTTACCATGATATTTGACTGGATCATGACCAGTTGCTTCTCTTTCGTTCTCTCTGTCAAGCATACAATAGTAACGGCAATCACTTTGGCAATCCCATTGTTTCCACTGCATATAAAGAGGTTCTTGCATGTACCACGGACTATCAACGGAGACCCCGTCAGAAGAGAAATTGCACTGTGGAAAGCATCTCTGCGCTACACATCCGGTTTCTCCACATTGTTTTACACAAGCCCTAATGTTAAATATACATGACAGGTTACAAGTGTAGGCAAAATGACCAAAATTAATTCATTTTACAACATGGACCAAAATGTTGATTCCACCAAATAAATAATAAGAATCTGCACTCGAGGAACTTATACAACTTAGCCATGAACAAATTATTACAGATTACTTTCAAGAGAGGTACTTATCAAAAAGCAACTTCAAGAGAGGAATTTTAAGAATTTACATAGTTCCGGATAGATAGCAGTTGCAATGGGAAATTCCTCTATTTTAACATTATAAGATGGGGCTGATAGATGAACTTTTTAACAAAAACACCATACCACACATGGTTATTGATTCATAGGTGACACAAATGAAGAAAGCCTGTTCACGTAACAAAAATTAATTGTTAACATTTGTTAGCTAGCCAGCTGACAAGGAGACGCGAGATACAGATTTATTCCATAAGATAAAAGCTTGCTATGTTTGTACATTTCTTAATGAACAAATAATTGTTTGATTCGTTTTTCTTTGTGAATAAAGGTTGTGAGCTATATAAATAGCATGTTCATCTGTGTATTCCATTTGGGTGATTGATCACCCTAAGTGAGGCTTGTGCAGCCTCATTGAAAGGTTATTGTGATTGATTTATAGTAAATACAAATTCAAAAAAAATTAGAGATTTCCTTATAAGGATGCTCTTAAATGCTTGAGATGGCATAACCCTGTTTCCATTAATTTTTCAGACCACTAAGGTTTTACAACATAATTATGTAGAATGCACTTTGTCAGAATGTAGAGCACAGATTACAAAGATACAAATACCTACGGTATAAAACCCTATAATTGTTATAACGCTATTTATTTGACATGAAAAGAACATTTAGGTGCTAGTCCTGCAATCACATATAAGCTCCATGCCTACTTGCTATGGTTATTGAAGACCAGAATTTGGAAGGAAAGTTTAGATACAACTTTTCCCATTTAGAAACTCGGTAGGTTCCTATTTTAATTTGTTTACAAACATGTACCCGTATGTAACTATAAGACCAAAAACAAATATATTGTAATTCGAGCAACCCCAAGTGCATGCAGTCAAGGACCTATGGATCTGATGGCATGTACCCTGTCCCTAAGGATGGGGTGGTTTAAGATCCCTAAAGCTTGGGTAATAATAGGGAGGGGAAATGCCATTGTAGCAATAGAAATAGAAAGGAAAAAAGAATTGCAAGCGTGTCGACAGACCCATAAGAATTATGTCACACAAAGGATTGGTAAGTTAGTTTGATGAACTGCTTTTTCAAGCAAAGAATCCTCATTGTGTATTAATTCTTCCACCAAATTATTGATTAGTGAGTTACCATCTAGAATTGCAAGCACAAAAATTCAATGGAAAATAATGCTCTCTATATCGAACTTCAAATGAGGAGCGCTAATTGCTAGTGAATGGGGAGCATGTGGGCCCCACACTCTTGAGTGGTGTGGATGACAACCGCCCCTTTCCATTTGAACTTCAAGTGAAGAGGAGCAAGATAGCCCTTCAGCTGAAATTTCAGTCCTTTGGCTGACTCAGGGCAAGAAAGCCGAAGTAGGCTACAGAAAACCTCAGTAAGAGGTGAAAATATAAGTCTTTTAAGCAAAACAATGAGGAATTATTACAAAAACCTCAAAAACAATACATGTAGCTGTGGCTAAAGAGCACAAAGAAAGCTAGAGAAATAGCAGTACAAAACCCATAAAAAGCTACAGGAAAATATCTAAAGAAGAAAAAAAAAACACTTACCTATAAAGTGGATCAGCATCACCAGCACTGGCATCTAAAACTCTGAAGTTGACGACCCATGAAACCACCACAAAGAAAGCGACCCAATAGTGCTTTAACATCTGAACATAAAATCACAGATTGGTTAAGCGTCTAAAGCTCTCAACTTTGACCATTGCAAGATCTTGACTTTTCCATTGCATATCAATACATCATCAGTTATCTTTTCTAATATTGCAAAAACCAATCTGGGCAACAATTGCTATGTAATTTGTTTAAAAGCCCGGAATCATTTTCTGGGTTCTTAAAAAAAGCTTTGCTTCAATACTTCATTTGTGGTCACTCCTACTAAATACACATTTTCTTTAAAATAAAAACCATCATGTACAAGTTTTACTGGAATGGAACGACATCGTTTTAGATCCGGCAAAGGAAACTCACCGGAGCACCAGACCCACGCGACCTCCTTCTTCCGTCTCTCTCTTTCTTCTTCCTCTTCACATCAACATTGACAGTCTGGTCCACTCCGTGCCTAGTTCAATTCTTCAACAATTGCTGCTCGTATGCAATTCTTCAATTCTTCCTCATTACTTTTTGGGTTAGTGGGTCTTCGGGTGTGGATTGGTAAATGGTAATGGGTTGAAAATGGAGCTCCATTTGGGCTTGAAACTCGTTGGATTTTGAACAAGTGAGCCCAAAGCCTTGACAAAACAACCCTCGTGTTTTTGCCACTCTTTTTTGTTCATTCGGTTCCGAAACAAAACATATGATTTCGAAAATGGAGTGCGAGTTTAAGATGGATTTTCAATTGGTTTTGGGTCTAAAGCGACTAAGTGTGTCCACTTCGCAATACTCATTGAATCAAACTTATCTGGAATATATTGAAATCTCAAATATATACTGGGTAAGCGCTTAAAAGACACTGAGTTCTATCAATCCCCTTTGTGTTCTATTGGTATGGAAGATAATGTCTATTGTAGTAGAAGGGACTTTTATGAGTTCGTGCTTTCTTTAAGGGTTCCCTGTTGTTAATATGACACAAAAAATGGTTTTACGTGCCTAATTGTTACAATGGGTCTCACATTTTCCTATTATATCATCATATAGTGATTTTAGCATTGTTTCTTATCATTCGTGCCTAATGGTAGATTATGTACTTTATTATGTGACGTTGTTGCCATACCTTCCTTTAAAATACTGGTAATAATGACAATAGAGACGATTTTATGTCCCTTTATATTTCTAGAGATGGGACCCATATAGCACCTCCTCATTAGATAAATATTAGCTAGATAGTACATGTAAATAGATAGTTGAAACAATTTGAAGAAATAAATTGAAATAAATCGAACGTTATGTGTGTATATTTAAATCACAAAGCAATTTGAAGAGAGTAATTATTCTTTTTGTGCTCCAAGGGAAACTCGATAGGCGAAAATTGAAAAATATTAATGAGAGTAACTTCTGATCATGTGATGATCTTAATCCAACGAATCCTATACAACTGATATTTCACATTCTTGTTCTTGAATTTTTTTTAGTTTCAAATGTCAATTCTCAATAAGGAGGAGATGGGAGCCGTAGAACCCTAGCTAAACAAACCGTTAAAGTGGGATAATCATCTGCTCTCCATGCATTCATTCATGTGATATTTTTTGCTTTTGTTTTTCATAAAAAAGTTCCCACGAATTATATTATAGAGTCTAGCAATTTCAGTGCAACACTCATTTACTCACCAAGTTTTTTGTTTTACTTTTGCTTAAGAATTGAGGGTTTGAAGCAGGCCTTTTAAAAAAATAATAATAATAAGTATAGGTGATAGTCTAAAACTATACGAAGAGGAATTTTCACATATATATACAACTATGATGTATTCAAACTTGAGATCTTTGATCTGCAAATTAAGGCCTTTTTTCACTGGACGAAACCTCATTGGCTTGAGGAAGTCCTTGTTGATGTTTATAATGTGTAGTAATTATGCATGTGTTCTAGTTTAATTCCTCAGAGTCTTCATATAAAATAATTCAAGAGCACAGCTGAACTGAGCTTAATTTAAATGAATCATGCTAACACAACCTAAATTAGTAAGGTTTGATTTTCTTCGATGTACTTGAACGACATAAAATAAGGCCTTGAGTTGAGCCTTAGATTTAGTTCTTGCACGTTTCTGTATGTAACCAAGAATTAATAAAAAAATATATATAAAAGCAAATGTCGAAGCTTCAAGCGACACGAACAACCTGGCTCTTTTAATTTGCAGCAGCCCCCCTGACGACCTTCAACATTTTCTCGACAGCCCTCAGATTGCATGTGCACTAGATTATATACAGAGAAATTAATTCATACAATATTAGAATACATCCAAATTTTATAAACAAGGCAACAAGATAAAATTAAATATATCAGTTTGTCAAAACATGAACTCCTACACTCTAGCACTTCCCCACTGCAACATTAATTATTCCATTTACACCAGAAACGTTGGATCAAAAGCAAGATGGACGGCGGCGGATCTAAGCTCATCCCAGTTCTCATTCAAAAGCTCATTCTCAAGATCTTGATACGAAAAGTTTGAGAAAGTCTCCATGTACGGATATGTAGCAGGCATGTTGGAGCTCAACTGGCCTACTGCATGTAGCTGCTGGTTGCTTCCATTGAAGTTGTTCATGTTGGTATGGTTCACAACAGGCTTCTTCTCTTCGTAGCAAATAATATTGTCTGAAGCACCAAAACTGATGTAATTGTTAGACTGATCTAGGTCATCTTGATCACTTGTGCATTTCTTGGAGCTTACTGTGTCCATTGGATGGCGTTTAGCTCCGGATTGCCCTCTCCAATCTGCTTTTTTGTACGAGACATTTCTCTTGAATATCCGGCACAATGTCCATATTTCCTGAAACAAGTGAACCATTGCATCCATCAGAACATAAGCCTTTATATATGGTCAAATGGGAAAGGAAAATTTTATTTGGCTAGTGTAGGTCATGGATTATTATGAGTTTACTTTGACATCATGACTGGTTTATGGTTAAGGTTAATTTCAGCCTGGCTAGCTCTAGTACTTTCTTGATAAATTATGAAAAGTACTAATGTGAGATGCAAAATGCATAAGAAACGTTTTTTTTTTTTTTTTTTATGCTTGACTTATATTGTCGGACAAATTTTTTATGTTGCCAGATTATGAATTTGGAACTACGTATTCAGGCAGAATAAAAAATGAACAATAATTCAGAGATTCACAGGCTGACAAGCATCTTATGTTATCAAACAGTGACATTTCGCACATGAACAAAATTGTAATTAATTTGTCAAATAAAAGGGTAGATGGAAACTAGGATGCAGATTTTTCACTTACAGCTTCTTGTTGAGGATCAGTACTATTGATGTTCTTAGTGTTGGAGCTGCGGTGAATGTATTCATTAGAACCAGCCGGATTGGGAAGGCGAAACTCGTGCATCATCCAATCGGTTTTGGTGCCTTTGCCTGCACTTCCACGGTAGTAAACCAATGTTTTCTTGAGGCCAATGCAGGCATGGCCTTGTCCTCCATGGGAATGTATCGGCTTGTCAATCCCAGTTGCCTTCCAAAATCCAGACCCTGTAACTCTGTTGGGTCTGATGCTGTTCTTGTACTTTCTCCCTCTTTTGCAGAAGAAGTACCATTCCTTCTCTCCTGATGTACTTATCGCTTCTGCGCATACACACATAATATTGAAGTTAATCACAAATTAATTAACCCATATGTTTGTAAGAACAAGATCTATAGTTGGAGCTAGCTGCGGCACTTATAGTAGAGCTAGGTTTATAGCAATACATGGAAAAACTAAAGGAGTTACAGAAATCGTTTGCTGATCATATATTTTATATACTAAAGTAATTTTTCTTGATAGTATAAACTATATATAGTAGTTAAATTAGAAATAAAGAAATAGCTATTACTGGGAACCAGTGCAACCAATATATATTCTAGGCCACCTTTTGCTCAGTATCCTTTGAGTTTTTGAAGCAATTTAACCCTAGCTATCTTCTTGTCTTCTTCTTCTTCCAATTAAGGATATACCAGAGAATAAAAAAGAGGGAAAGTAAAAATTCATGACAGGGACATATATATATATATGTATGCATACTTGGAAGATCCCAAGGATCATGCTTGTAGATGTCAATGGACTTGATGAGCTCTATGCTGATTGCTTTCTTCTCAACCTTCCGGCGAAGATAGAACTCCACAAGTTCTTCATCTGTCGGGTGAAACCGAAATCCTGGAAGTTGAACATCATCTTCATCAATATATTGATGATCATCCTTAGTGCTAGTGTAGTTGCTGTCCATGATTTTGAGATCTTCTTCCAACTCTAGCTTAGCTCCTCAATCAATTTTGTTGTGCTCTGTTATGTAACCTCAGTGCAGAAGCGATGGTCTATAGCAGTTTTGAAATATGGATGCAAGTGCAAGAGAAGGTTCGATAATTAAGCTGAAGGGTCATAGGCCTTTGTGCTATTTATAAGGTGAAGAAAGTCATAAAAACGTAGTTTTATTAGGTCAAGTCATAAAGGTTGACTCTGGCAGGCCAGAAGTCTTGAACCATTTTTGGTTCTATGTCGCCGTTTAAGACTTTATCTTGCTATACTAGTTGTATAGTCTCAGTCAGTGCCATATATGTATAATGCATCCACCACTCCCTTCAACTCATTTAGGAATTTCAAGGCATCATAACAAGGCCAGATACAACTAGAGAGAAACGTTAAACATTCATAGATTTTTTTTATTTTTATTTTTTGGTTTGGTTTTGAACCGATAGAAATTTATTGATATCAAAGAAACAATGTATAACTGCATCAGCCAAAAGTCAAAAGGATTAGACGAGCGAGCCACTCTACACTTCGATCATCGGACTAATCAACATATTCTTCTCTCAAAAACGATTAGGTTGAAATAGAGCCCATGATAAAGTACCCCCGTCCCTATGCCTGCCTTAAAACCAAAACACAAAATTTTGTGCCTATAAACAAACATAATTTTGCGACATGCATATATTACGTTGATAAGTACAATAATTTTTTTAAAAAGTAAACTTACCAACTTGCACGATATGTTTGTACGATTATAGCACTCAATACACGGCGTGTAAATTTTTAGTCATTTTAAAAAGTACAATTAAGACCCATTTTTTTCTTATGGCATAAGTTTGATACAAATATTTTCATTCTTGAAAGCGATGTGAATGAAAATATAATCCACAAATACCATACAAATATTAATTGTCATATAATATCAATTACCTTGCACAAAGGCCACACAACAGTTTGTGGGTCATTGATTTGTGCAAAGAAGTTTTGCGTGGTAGAAGAGGTAAGGACCCAAGAACATATCACATTATCGGTCCCCATAAAGGCTTCCTTTATGTATAAACAAATCAATTATAATTCGATGGCACGAGGGATTTGAATTATTTGTACATCTGCATATGAAAATTATGCAGTTCTATATCATTGCGACACAGAGTATTATCTAGGTTAATGTGGTCCATGATTTGCATGGCTTTCCATTTTTATTTTTTTATTTTTATGAAGTATATATTTTGCTTCAATATTTATGCGGTCAAAAGCGTCTATTAATTATTGTGGGTGGAAGAGATCGCAAGGCAAAAACGAGAACCACACTCAAGGGCAGATTAAGAAGGGGGGAAGTGCAAAATGGGGAGAATAATAATGGATCAATTGTCAATGGTCTAACCGAGAGAAAAAGGGTCTTAATTTGCAGAACATAAGTTTCAGGTTCGAATCTCGTGGCATCAATTTGTAACTGTATATGAGAAATCCCCTCCCTTCTAATTTAGACTATCGCTTATACTAAAAAAAAATTATATTAATGGACCAATTAATGAAAGACTTCTGGAGGCACAAAATAGTATTCAACATGCACATTAAGATCTTGAGATCCATAGAACTCTTAACTCGTTATAGCAATTTGTTCTTAAAAATTGCTTCCTACCAATTGATAAATTGCAAATTAGAACGTGAGAATCTCACGGCGATGAGATGCGTTAGTTTTGCTCTAAAAATTTAGGATAAATCACACACTATAAAACGATAGGATATTTAGATATTTTTACAATGGAATAATACACCCACAACAAAATCACGTTGTCATAATAAATCCAATCACAATGAGGTATCAAACTCATCACAAATATATACTGTCCTTACATTTATATGAGTCAGACTTGAGACTTCTTCCAACTTACTGTAAGACAAGATTATCACTAAACTTAAACAGGCGTAAAGAATTCACATCAATTAATTCCAAAGCTAACCTTATTGCAAGATGCGTAGGGCTTGTTTAATAGGGAAGACTAGACTGGATTAGAAAAATGCCTATATTTCGTGTGCAAGACATAATATGGATATGTTAGCTAACTTAAAGGAATAATTGGGACTATTTATAAGAGGTTGATGACTACAACTTATTCTCTTCCCCCCACCCCAAAAAAAATTCCCTTGAAAATAGTTGAATTATGAGGGATAAGTTTTAGTCATCACCTCTTATGAATAGTCTTTCGTCATCCTCCAAGTTAAACAACAATATCCATATTATGCCTTGATTGCACATAAAATGTAGGCATTTTGCTAGTCATGAGTCTAGTCCATTCTAGTCATCTCGAAAAAACGAGGCAGTATAGAATTAGTTTACATTCTTTGTGATAAAATGATTAATTCCCTATAATTAAAGAGTTTTTCTATTTAAAACTTGCACTTCTCTTTGTTCACCCCATATTCTAAGTTTACCCCAACTTCTAATTCAAAATTTCATAATTTTTAAGCAACTCGCACTATCTTCCCAAACTACCCCTAAATACATACCCATCAGGGGGGAAAAAAAACTCATCAACCTCACACCCCACTAAAACTGTAAGTCTAGATAATCTTTCAAATCCAGAAACAGATTCTTGCAGTTCAAGCCAACCAGGAGTAATGGAATTCTTTAGACAATTTCAATTTCTTATGCATGCCTTAAAACCAAAACACAAAATTTTGTACCTATAAACAAACATAATTTCGGGACATGCATCAATCCATGTATTACATTGATAAGTACAAATTTTTTTTCAAAGTAAAACTTACATACACCAACTTGTACAATACGTTTGTATGATTATAGCAAATCAATTATAATTCGATGGCACGAGGGATTTGAATTATTTGTACATCTGCATATGAAAATTATGCAGTTCTATATCATTGCGACACACAGTATTATCTATAGGTTAATGTGGCCCATGATTTGCTTGGCTTTCCAAATTTTTTTTTATTTTTTATTTTTATGAAGTATATATTTTGCTTCAATATTTATGCATGTGGTCAAAAGCGTCTATTAATTATTGTGGATGGAAGAGATCCCAGTCCAAACAAGGCAAAAACGAGAACCACAGTCAAGGTCAGATTAAGATGGGGGGAAGTGCAAAATGGGGAGAATAATAATGGATCAATTGTCAATGGTCTAACCGAGTGAAAAAGGGTCTTAACTTGCAGAACATAAGTCTCAGGTTCAAATCCCATGACATCAATTTGTATCTGTATGTGAGAAATCCCCTCCTTTCTAATTTAGACTATTGCTTATACTACAAAAAATATATATTAATGGACCAATTAATGAAAGACTTCTGGAGGCACAAAATAGTATTCAACATGCACATTAAGATTTTGAGATCCATAGAACTCTTAATTCGTTATAGCAATTTGTTCTTAAAAATTGCTTCCATTACCCAATTGATAATTGCAAATTAGAACGTGAGAATCTCACGGCGATGAGATGCGTTAGTTTTGCTCTAAAAATTTAGGATAAATCACACACTATAAAATGATAGGATATTTAGATATTTTTACAACGGATATTTAGGATATTTAGATATTTTTAGAATCTCAACGGAATAATCCCACACTCATCTCGAACAAACGAGGCAGTATAGAATTAGTTTACGTTCTTCATGATAAAATGATTAATTCCCTATAATTAGAGAGTTTTTCTATTTAAAACCCGCACTTTTCTTTGTTCACCCCATATTCTAACTTGATCCCAACTTCTAATTCAAATTTTCACAATTTTTAAGCAAACCGTACTATCTTCCCAAACTACCCCTAAATACATACCCATTAGGGGAAAAAAAAAAAAAAAAACTCATCAACCTCACACTCCACTAAAACTGTAAGTCTAGATAATCTTTCAAATCCAGAAACAGATTCTTGCAGTTCAAGCCAACCAGGAGTAATGGAATTCTTTAGACAATTTCAATTTCTTAAAGGAAAAGAAAGAAACAAGGAACAAAGCAAACACTCTAAGCAGCTCCTTACCCTCTCTGCATTTGTGAAAGATATAGAGAACCAACTTCTTGGATGATCCACAAAATTTCCGATCTGGAGGGTTGTTGTGCTTTATAATGTTCAGCATTAGATTGTCTACAAGAGAGAGAAAAATGCATAAATGAGAATCTTAGAATATCAGAATTTGTTGTGATACACATTAGATCTTTAGGGAAAAGTTTTACACCTCACACCCCACACCCCACAACTCCTGTTACCATAAAAAAGTTCACTCTAGATTCTTTTTAGATACTTACAACTTAATATGAAGAGTGGCGGGGTGTACTTATACATGTATTAGGTTAAGTATTAGATTACTTTTTTTGTCTTTTTACACAATTATAAAACTTAAGAGCTTAATAATTTAAGTATTGGGGTGACAAAGAAAAGTGCGAGATTTAAATAGAAATTGTCTAATTAGATATGCATATGATTAGGTCATAATACATATCCAGTCTTATGAAACAAACTGAACGCCAGAAACACTGGCGCCCATCTTAACTGAGTTAGGGAGTGAGATACGCAAACAAAACCCATAGATTGGATCCAAATTCCAAGTATATTCCAACATGTAGAATAACAAGTGGAAAACAACGAAAATGACAAAATAGATGGACTCACTCAACTCAACTCAACCACGTGAGTTTGAATTTAGGACAAATGGATTATCATATAATTACTAAAATAATATATTGCTAATCCAAAGTCTACAAACGAACCCATCTAAGATAATTACTTCCCCTTTTCAGCAGGCCATTGAATTGACCTTATCAATTTTCTTTGTCCTTTTTCAAAGAAACACATGCATTAATTGCATTTTCCTGGGAAATTTACAGTATAAAATATATAGATAAAGGAATTTCTAGAAGAGTAGGAGGTGATTTACATTTGAATCCCATTTCAAAGGGATGAATTGTCAAAATTATCCTAAATAATCGGCAATAAACTTATTATAGTAACTCTTGTCTAGTGTTTTTTATCTTTTCGATTTCGTCATAAATTTTAAATTCGAAATATCTCTGTTTTAAATTCAAAAGGCACATTTTTACCATGTAATTTTTGATAAAAATATTGATAAATA